AAGTATCGCAAAAGTTTCGTATTCTATGCTTGTGCGGCACTTATTACGATTAGTGACTTCTGTTGTTCAGGATATTAGTGTTTTTTTTTTTCTAAAATAAAAGAAGTGATACGAACATTCAAGTCAACAATCATGTAATTTTAAATGCAAACGTTAACTTGCGTATATCTGCTCATTTAAATTATAATTCAGATTTACCCGTTCAAAAATAATTATATAACTTTTTAGTCCTTTGATGTGATTAAGGATTTTCTTAATAACCGGCTTAGTAGTTTTCATAAACAAATACGCTCTAACGCGATGGTCTTACAATGTAGAATTTATGCATTAGTTAGTAATAGAGGTCATGAAGTATTTATTGTTTTGCTTTTTTTTAAGTGGGAATTTGTTTTTATGATTTTACCTAACTAGGGTTACTGCGGTGAGCCGAATACTGTTACACTTAGCACATTTGAAATAAACATGTGCGACTTCTCATATTAAACACTGTTTTTCTGGCTACCAACATGTGTCGAAAGAACATAACAAATATTTTGTACCGAACTGTAACTGATTACATCAACATTTTCATCTCTTCGTCAGTTTGCCGGCATTAGGTATAAGGAAGGAAAAATAATTACAAATTTGATTCACGTCCTTACTGCCATGCCTATTTATACAATAAATAAAATTTTCCTGTATTTTAATCAAATTGCTGACCCTGAAAACTAAATATGAATTTTGTTTAATTGACGATTTTCGTTTGAGAAGGATTGAAATGTTTGTAGTACAAATGTCACCATTTTCCCAATTGGGTTTGTGTCGTCATTATTGGTGCATCTAATAGATTTTGATCTAAAGGAATTCGAAATCAATGTCAACGTTTCATTCATGCAGACGATTGAACGATTGTTCTTCTATTGAATTCACGAAAATAGTTTTCCTCCGAGAAGTACGGATTGTGGGAACGAAACAATTTATTTAATCTGTACACAAGACTGGGTTGCGTAGCGAACGAGAATTTCCCGAGGATTTGTAATACAAATCGAATTTTACTCCGCTGCTGGTATCTATCCGCTTGTCGCCCTTTTTGGTTAGAATACATTATTAGTGGTAGCGTGAATTACGTCTTTATGAATATTACGGTAATCGCTTCTTGATCTCTTCTCGTTATACGTGCGTGGCTGGGCTAGAAATAGTTCTGAATACGCTTATCGTTAATTATACCTAAGCTTATGATTGCTATGCATTTGTGTTCGTTACATGCTGTGTATTATTAGGCTTGTTGTGTTAGTGTTCCTTTTTGTTGCGAATCAAAACTTAAAACTCTTAATTTAGACTTCCTAGTACTTTTTAATTAAGTTTTATATCTGTATTTTCTTTACCTACGTTTGAATGTTACTGGAGTTTAATTCAGAGGAACTTTTAATGACATCTTTGAAAAATAAAAGCGCGCTCTCGCTGTCGATGTTGGTAAGATAAACTTTAAAACTCATTAAATATTTTTGGTGAATCAGTTCACGTTTTACGCAGGCAGGAATAATTATTGGTGATCACTGTGATAGTTGGAAGTACGTGTAAATTTTAAAACAGTACCGAAAACGAACTGTAAAAATAAGTAAGTAATTTTTCGTGATCATAGCATATGCCATCGGTTCAATGACTTATTCCCATCTAAAAATATGTATACAAGCAGATACATTCTGATTATGAAGTAACACGTGATGGATACGGCAAATATGAATATAATGGATAGTCTTATATTTGTAAAATAATATACTTTGTGAATAACAATTAGTCACGTAATTGTGTACTGAATCAGGAATTTGTATATTTAGACGACCTTGGCCAAGAAGATCATGTACCAAAATAGTATGGTGTAGTGTACGTTGAGATAGTTTTATGAAAAAGCAATATTGCGTCCGCGAACTATAACTTTGTACCAAAACCAGATTCTAAACATTCCTACAACTTGCAGACATTGAAAAAATATTTTTGCTCGTTCCCTTTTTATATTACCAGCGGCAACAAATACAATAAATGTATTAAATAAATTTACATCACAATCTAAATGAAATGGTAACTCACTATAGCCGCGGGTTATCGGTTTACTGAACCTACATATTCTGAATAACTTTATTAAAATTTTAGCGTTTGTTGTCAAAGAGTTGCAAATCGCGGTTGATCATCGCTGATGCTTGAAGTTTACGTATTGTAGCGATTTTGTTTTTATAACAAGTCAAACTGATTCAGAATAAAACAAATATTTCTGCAATGAATTCCAGGTTTTCAGATTATTTTATTTATTTTGTAAAGTATTTTCAGTTTTGTATCAAATTAGAACGCGAAATGGCGTCCTGTCTTGAATTATTTGATGGAAAACATTTTTATTTTAGTATGATTCTCTATCATGATTCTTGTATTTCTTGTATCACCTTTAAAGAAACCTAACCGAACTTATAATACTCATGAAATATGCACGTTATTCGTTTACGAAAAGTGAATATTTACTGCACCTTTATTCTTGTATATCAACAATGTAAGTGATTTCTATGTTATATGTACATTGTGAAAACAATGAATGTTATATTTATTGTGAAGAGGTTTACTACCTACTTTAAATCTTACTAATATTGTCCCGTAAACCGGTTCGACTACAAGATCGAATACATCATTATGTTTAGTCTGTTAATTGGTAAATGATGGTTTACCTACATTCAAAACATTACACACTTTTGTCTTTAACTCTATCTATATTTGTTCTTTTTTAACGATACGAAATACAATTCCTCTGACGTCACAATTATTTTAATTTAACGTCAATTAGTTTGCTGATATTGGGACTACAATTTATTATTTTAGTAAAGAGATTTTGCTTTGGGGATTTGTACTATGTTTTCCTTTCAGATATTTATAGAACCCGCCATTTTCTCGCACTAATGCAAAATCTGTAGGTATCAGTTTCTTCACTTAGCGTCAGAAAATGATCTACTTTTTGTGGTTATAACTTTTCTATTCAATATTATTCGTCAATCTGTATATAAATAATATGAAGCCAGCCGATAAAATTGATAAAATTCGTTTGGGTTCACGATCCTCGAAAAGGCCACGACAACTTGTTTGAAGACCCTTTAGGTATATTGATTTTATCGCCTTTACCAATATTTACATGGGAACTTATCTAGGTGAATATAATGGGGTTAAATAGTTGAAATTTTACACTTCATTATTCAATGTTTGATGTCCTTTTTGCTAAACCTAAAGGAAAAATAGTCGTTTTCATACAAATATAATTTATGCTAATGTAAACATGTTTAGTTTTACGAGCTGGACTGACTGTGCAAACAGTTGAGTAAAGTTTGAATTATCATTTTACATTTTTGATGATAGTAGGTCTACCGACCTACCTACAATGTCCATCAATTCTATGTAATATAGCTTGGTATCAAGATTGACAAGCAGTCTATTGAGAGTATATGTTTGGGTTTCAATAATAGGTTTATGTAAGCCAGATACGAGGTTGGAGGTACACCTTCAAAGCTTCCTATATAATAAAATCTTGTGTGATAAAAGGCTTTTTACGGCTCTGAGGGGTGTTTATAAAAGCTCCCGCGTGTAATTTTTCGTCGGAAATGTTGGGCAGGTATTAAAACGTGGAACCCACTACAGGTTTATTTTATATGAAACAAATCCGTGGGTAAAGGATAGAGGTAGTCTGGAAGACACTTTAATCTCGTTTGATCAATAAGATGTCTTATTAATTTGTGTTTGTTTATTTGCTTGATATAAAAGAAGAGAATATAGTATATTCATGCTTACTCCAGAATGCTTAAGATGTTTGTACATGGATGATAGTGATAGATGTACACAATATTTATAGATAGATCACCAGTCAAGAACTTGACCCAATTTCTCTTATGAAATGGGGACCTACTCTTCGTAGGTACCCATTTACATTCAACGCTCGCTTTTCATTCAGCCTCCTGCAGTATATTAAATAGGTTATGGAGAGATTTTAATATAGTTAATGTTTCGTGCAGCGTTCCTAATTAATATTTACTGAAGTTCATAATCAAATTTTAATCATGTTTATGCTTCTGCTTTTATCTATTTATTTAGGACTGTGCAGTATGAGTTGGCATTCTTCTCCAATAATATTAAATTGATGTATATCAGAATGTAATGTATGATATACGCAATCTTCTGTATAATGTTGCTTACTTCACCATTTTCATTATTAGAGTCGTCTCCTGCTACTAATTTTGCGATAATGTTTGTAGATAAGGGCACTCACTTTTTTCTTTTCTAAAAACGTGGATATATTTTATGTACCGTAAAAAAGCTTGTTTTGCATATTTTATATCTTTATGTTGCCACAATCTTCAGCATACTGGATACGTCTAACTATACTTAAAATAAGGCTCCATTTATATTAAAGGAGAAAACGTTTTGTGAAAATTGTTCTCGAATAATAGACCTTATTGGATTGCTTGTAAAGCAGGAGGGCAATTTGATTCTATTTTAATGCTAATTTTAAAGGAACAATCTAATAATGTGCTGATTGATTCTTTTTGTATTCAGATTTTCAGGCTTTCTTTGATTGGCAATAAAATGACACTAAAATATTCTAGAAGACTATAATTTTTGCTTTCATAAATCATAATGTCATTTATCACGTCATCTATAAATAGGTCATGTTCACAGAAGGCACGTCATTGGTTTGTACAACCTTTGTAGAAGGTACTTGTAATAATATAATTGCATAAAATACGTTTATATTGTTGTATTGTGACAAGCCCTGTAACCCGTTTGTCAGTCAACAAACGTGCGAGTAGAACTCGTCCTTGTTGCGTTGGGCGTAGAGTAACCAGGGCGTGTGGGCCAAACAAACACATACATATGTTCACTGTCAAAAAGTAAAAGTCCTTACGTATGGCCGGCTCTCGCACATGTTATCAGGCAATCGCTTTATCTAGGTGTAATTTACACGATTACGGTTCCAAAGACATGTTATCATATTTATCATATCTTAGTGAGTCAGTCGATAGTGAGCGTTCAACCAGAACTTAAGTGACTGAGGTGTTGAATTATTGGAAATTCATTAGTTTGTGATTACCGTTTGTCGTCGTTAGACGTTATTAGTTAAACAAAAATGGACAAGAATAAGAGGGATATGAAAAATCTCATCAAGATGTTTGAGGCGCGACAAAAAGCGGAAGAGGAACACGAAGCGGCTGTTAGGGAAATGACAAGAGAGGCCTTCAACACAGTTATGGGTATTATATACTTTCTATCATATAGTATTGTATTTGATACATCTATTTATATAAAACAAAATATTTATGTATCTTTTTATTATGATTAATATTATTAAAGACATTTCTCTATTTAAGTTATTGATTGCTTTATTAAGGCACTCGTACGATAAGATACTATTTATACCTACTTAACCTTACCTACAGAAATGTTCGAAGCACCTGATTGACAAAGTACAGAGGGTATTAAACGTCGCGAACAAGCGATTGGTTTCGTTATGCTTGCAAACGTCAAAATATCTATTTTTAAAACTGGCCCTAAGAGCTCTCAATATTGAAGATATTGCGGCTCATTTGTTTGACTTTGATTCCCCTATTTATTCAAACAAACCAATTTCGAGCGATAAATTTTCTTTATTTTTCCATTACATTTCCATTTGTACAATCCCTCTTGAAACTTCTCGAAAGTTGTTCAAAGGTGATTCAGACCGACTTATGAAGCTACTTAACACAAAATTGGGTTTTGAATATTTGGGCCATTCTTAAATAAATAACTATTTTCAATCAATATTGTTTATTGTTATATTCGCAAACTGTAGCTACACAGTATCTAGTAATCAATTAGCAAAAAGTGTCATAGAATATCCTAAATGAATAGTTCGCGGTCGGTGTAAATTTCCCATTAGGAAGGCCCATTTCTCTGGTTTATGATGTGCTTGTTTGTCGAGGTCGACTGAGTGCTTTGTATTCACAGGGGTTCGGTCCCAAACAACAAAACAATAGCGATAAAACTTCGTATCGAGGTAAACAATAGTAATGGAAAAGAAAAACTATAGTATGAACACAGATTCTATCTCCACAATAAAGTAAAACAAGTTGTCCTCATCTGGTTTCTCATTGCGGTGTGTGTGGTTTGGAATCGCGCGTGGGTGTTGGTGAAGCCATTGTTTCGCACAATTAATTTCAACCCTAGCGCAACGTTTCTGCATTTTATGAAACACTGAATGCAATTGCGGATATGTGGTTTTAGCTGTGTTTACACGCAAGACCACCTTGTGTGTGTAGGTATGTGTGTGCTGCAGGTATTAAAATAGATATTGCAGGTCATTCTTCACTCATTCATTCATTCAAGGTCGAATAGTACGAAGAAGTAGTTTTATTTTAGATACATAATATATGTTTCAGGATGAAAATATTATCTATTTTATGAGACGGCTTTATCTATTTCTATTATGAACCAACAACTAGACGAACATTTTCGCAGCGAATATTTTTAATTTTCTACTCATCCACATTGATACAAGATATTTATAGATATCCACGATCATTCATGTGTTTAGGTTAAGAGTGGCTTGAAGTATTTTTAGTAATGAGAATTGTTACGTAAATAATAGAATACTTAACCTCTTGTCTGCCGGTGTATGACAAACAATAGAAAACACATTGTGTCTAGTGTGGATCCACGCTCGATACCACGGGTTAAACGACAACCGTTAATCTACAACATGGTACTGAACAAATTTTACTATACTAATAACAATGATCAACTTGGTCTTTGGACTAGATCAATGTCTAACCTCTGGAAAGTTACCATTAACAAGTAAATTCGGTATTTTGGTAGTTTTTACTAAGTTGGTTTTGTTTTGTCACCAGGCAGCGAAGCCGACGCTGCAGCAGCGACCCGGAGCCCAGCATCGGACCTCGAGTGCTTGATAGAGCGCTTGGAACGTGTCACATCGCGTCTGGAGCGCTTGCCGGTGTTGCGCGCGCGCACTCCAACGCCTCCGGCGTCTCCTGCGCCCTCGCCAGTCTCCGAACCCTCGCTCACACCTCAAGCACCGTGCTTTGAACCAACCGACAACATGAGCGTTAACGGTTATCAAGATATAGTGCAGGTAGGTTGATGAAACTTCTAATTTGTTAACACAAAAAATGACTGATAGTAGTTGTAAAAACGAATATATGGCTTAAAATAGTCGTTCGGCCAGTTTCATTAATCTTAATATTAGATTAATGAATGGCGTTGTTTGTAGTACTTTTTGTAGCTTTGGGTATACATATAATTTCAATTACAAGTTAGTGGTTACCCTCAGAATACAGAACAAACCAGAAGGCGTCATCGCGCTTCAAACTCAAGCAACTAAAACCATTCTCAACTAGAATAGTATGAAATTTCTACGATTAGTCAATTTTGGCACGTGGCATGTCGTGACGTATTTACGAGTATCAATTTTAATTTCATTATGCCGTCTTGTGTTATTACTACGAGTAAAAATGCGACTGGAATTACGAAAAAAGTGGATAAGATTACATTTAATCTGCAAGCATCGACTGCAATAGTATATTTAATTAATTATTGATTTTTATTTATGGCAAAAAATATACAGTCCAATATAAAAATAGAATACCCGCAGCGCAGTCGGTAACATTAAATTCAGGATGGCGTTGAATCTCGTAATGTGCAGTGACCATGCATTTAAATTCCTAATGCAGACTTAATGATTTCATCCGTGTTAGGTTCACCGAGCAAAAACCGCTTAGCGATAGACTCATTACTAAGAAAACAGTTAACTACGGTATAAGCTTGGTATGAAGAGGAGACTGTAGAGAAGTTAATCCATACATGGTTATATCAGTACGTTGAACTGTAGGACAAACCCGTTTCCAACAAGCCGTTGGTTTTTTGCCAAACCATTAGGAACTATAAAGTGGAAAAGTAAATAACATGATAAAAATCAATTGATTTATAAGTAACGGACTTAGGTTGTCTAGTTTATCTCCTGGACAGGGTGTAAAAGGTTGTGTGCCAAAATATAACGTTGATAAATTGCCTTATGTGCCGTATAAAGCATATAAACGCTTTCAAACTATGACCTTTTAGTGAATGAGAACATTTATCTTAAAAGATCGTGGGCTTATTCTTCGCAAAGTGGTTCCGGGAAAAAGGATTATACGTACAACGGAAGATGAGACAAAGAGGGCTTAAGAAAATTAGCTTAGTTGGAAAGGTTCATATAAATAAAAAAAGTCTTTGTAAAGACGCCTAGGGTCGGGTCTTGTATCAATTAATAACGGTCGGATGGCATTACGTTGTACTCAAAGACCCGGTCCTGGTAAATATGTAACCGCACAATTTCCACCTTTATTTACTCTAAATGCTGTTGCACCAAGTCATCGCAGTGTTTGTTAGTCTCTCAGCCTCTGTCGTTTTGCCAGGCTCTAATTGAATTTATATGACATGGACGTTGTTTTTTAAGAAAATGGGTCTCAAAATAACGTTTTCTTCTGATGTATTAAAAGTGTCTAAAGCTATATAATATTATGTAAGAAAATCAGAATGAATACATCACGTATAAATTAGATCAGGATCCATTATCTTGTTTGTATTTCTAAGCATAAGTGTAGGTACTACTTAGGCTTAGGCTGCGACAACAGCAAACACCGCTTTCAAATGGCGACTTATTTAGTGTTTGTATTTGTCTCTATAGACACATTACTGTCTGTTTCTCTACCACAGAACTAAAGGCCTTTCCTAATTGAGCAAATAGTTGAGGGATAGAACCTATTTAGATTAAAGGACTCTCTAAATTAAAGAATAAACTTTCTGTGTAAAAAATATGAATTAATTGTAATATATTTTCCTACACTATTTGATCAAACCAATATATGTAGTAGCCATTCTATTTATTACTTAACTTTTATTCCAGCAAAAAACAGAAATACATTTTCATAACAAAAGTCGGGAGCTTGTTTATTGGTTACGTAATAAGGGCGAAATGTTCAAAGAGAGCTGATAGAATACTTTTTTTTGATATTCTATTATCATTCAAAACCAACGTAATATTTAATAATAAAAAGTATTTCCTTTTATATCTTTGTTTTGATGTAACGTGATGGCTTATGCAACATTTTCAAAATTATCCTTTTGTGCGCTATCATACCACGAATAGTACAATGAGCTCATAATCCACTCCACAAAATTCAGGTTATCAATATTAAATTGAGGTTATTGAAGGAAAACCAGTTACGAAATGTGGCGTTGTGTTAACTCCAGGGATCAAAGTTATAGCGATACTGGTTAATTGCTAGCGAACTTTGTACTATACGCAGTACCACCTATACATTTTTTATGAGGAAAGTCTAGACTAGGGGATTATTAGGTAATATACTTTGTGCTTTGGACCAATTAGGTCACTATTTAATGGAAGTTATTGACATTAAATCTTATTTATTATGTGTTCATAAATATCAGTTATTAGAGAAATCACTCATCAATGTGACTTCACGTGTAAAATTAGCTACAGCAATAGAAATTAATTAAAGTTTTTTACATACTTTTTCCAATTGGCTATTATATTTTCTTAAGCTTTTTAGTAACACACGGTTCCTTCTGTTACGTATTCAGGATTGGTAAGATATTAGTTACATACAATAAATAATATCAGGTACAATGTAGTCCTGCTATTGATTTGAAGCATTTAGATATGAAATATGATGAATTGAGGTCTTAATAATGTTGTAGGTACATAGATCACTTTATGTAAAGCTTGTATGGTTAACAAAATGTTTTTGTTGGACAGGGTCCCCTGCAAGTTTACTTGCAGTTGTCGCAGCAGATCGGTGGCGATGTCTCCGCACACGCCAACCTGGTCAACGCCGCTTTCCAGTAAGTAATAACACATTCCACGTAAACTATGCATTGTCTAGCCGTCAACTTGGTTTTCAGAATAATTCCAGTCTAGAACTAGGCAGACTGGCGGGCGCCGGTATTTTACATAAAACATTATATTAGACTACTTACTGTATTTTGCGTAGGTAGCCATTGTACAGCTTAAAATGATAGCCGAAATTAAAATGAGATCAACAAGCTTTATGTTATATTTACACAGGTCTCCTACGTAAAATTATATTCTGGAAATTCGCAAATCAACTTACGAACATACGTAATTTCGAAAATGTCGTTAATCATACTTTGTTTATTTGTGGTTACATAATAAGGGCGTGGAACTTATTTGCTCTCCGTCCCCATCTCCATGACACGGGGCAAGGAGCGATTCTAATACATTAATTAATTTCCCTATCAGAACTTGTTTGTGTTGCTAAATTGAAACGAACCGGCAGATTCACATTATTAAATTAATGAGATTCATTGAACTAGAGTCAAAGTTACATGATAGCTACAAATTAGCTTCTAAATAGGATTCTAATAATATTGTTTGTCATGTTCTACATTCTGTTTAATTGAAATAATACATGTTTTATTAATGTTTATCTTTAATGCCACTACTGCTACTTTATGTTTATCGTAAATATAATATAGTGGTCGGTAATATATGTACTTAAGTAATCTTCGTACTTAGATTTGAAGAGTCTTTCGAGTTGTTTGTTTCATAAACTACTAGTTTTTAAGGAAACTTCTAATAATATATTATACATCAGGGCGCAACTTCGCTATATTCAACTGGCTACAACAAGGAGCAAGCCTTCTCAGGCTGAGGAGATGCAGCTCCTGGCTCCGACCAGCGAGCAGATCTCTGCTATCCAGCAATTCCGCGAGAAGAACCGCGCTTCGACGTACTTCAACCACTTGTCGGCCATTTCGGAGAGCATTCCTGCTCTAGGATGGGTGGCTGTAGCGCCCACCCCGGCACCGTACGTCAAGGAGATGAACGATGCTGGTCAGTTCTACACGAACAGAGTGTTGAAGGAGTGGAAGGAGAAAAACAAGACGCATGTGGAGTGGTGCCGCGCCTGGGTGCAGCTGCTCTCCGACCTCCAGGCCTACGTCAAGCAGTACCACACCACTGGACTCGTCTGGTCTGGTGAGTGTCTTCATATTATATCCGATCTAGCGTTTAAAGGAATGTATGTGCATTAATAGAATTAAAAATAGGCTCTGTGACCACATTAATAAATTACTATGCAAAAGGAAATACTCTTTGTCAGCACAATGAATAAACGGTACGTGATCCGCATGGTACATTTCCATCCGTCATATAATTTATGAGACGAATATTCTACGAGAAATACTTGTCATTTTCGTATTCTGCTATGTTCCCTCTGTGGAATACGCCTATTTGCTAGTAAGATGTTATACAAAATAATACAAATCTTCGGAATGAGTGCGGTAAAGATGTGGTGTTAAAATCAAGGTTCACATAAAAATATAAGTTTTAGAGTTATAATTCTGGATAGACCCTTACCGGACTGATTCGTAAATAGTTCGATTATTTAACTATAGTTAGTAGTTTGAAGGGTTAAGAAACTAAAACTATAACTTAAGTAATCTCTAATTTGCATACCTATCCGATCACAGAACTTGTAAAACAATTTATGTAAACCCGTCATCATTATTAATCCCCCTAATCTATCCTGTCGTATTTAAAAGCTTACTTGGTGACATTATTTCACAATTATAAAGTTATTATTCCAAGTGGTACATAAATAAAACCCTCATTAAGCCGCGTTGTTCTCCGGTTGAACTTGACACGAGTGTGGCACCACTCTTGAATTATTTAATACGCAGTTGAGCTCTCCAATGTCACCGCACTTTTAAGCGCGGGTTGTGAAATGCGCCCGACCGTTATGTAGAACACCTGAACATTTGATCAGCGCTGGTACAAAAGGGTTCATTCCAATCTAAGAAACCTTTATTTAACCGTACTTCTCTGTATGTTTAAATTAGTTTAGAAAGCAGCAAGTTCTCTCTTGATATGTCCCGAAAGAATTGATGTAAGTCCAATGTGTACTTTTTTAATACGTCTACCTACTCGATTCAAAGCTTATGACCTGACTCCTGTTCATTTATGTACCTAAGTGAAGTGAACAAGTTCAACACGTGCCGTAATTTATATTTAATTTTTTGCCTACTTTTATATCCAGCCCTTGTTTGTACAGGCCTAGATTAGGTATGCTTGTTTAATTTTAGATTAGGTATGCTTGTTTAATTTTTACGGATTACAGCTCCATAAATAAATTTTCATGAATTTTAAATGTACAGGAAAATTTTGTAATATTAGCTTTATTCGCATGAAAGATATATAACTGTTATTCAAAATGTGTTTTATCTAAAATAATTTATAACGAGCTTAAAGGTTTCAGTTTTAATCGAAACCCGTTTAGGTTCGAAAATCCAACGATCCTTATGATACGCGACCCTTTAAACATTAGCTTCCAATAATAGATTGGTATCTAATGTACCTGTATGATATAAAGGGCATATTTTAGTTTATGAAAAATCTACTCAATTTCGTAATTATTAAATGCTACTAATAATTTCTCACTTCTTCAAAAATACCAAAATAAGTACTTACTCGTAAACTTTACAACGATAAAGGTTTACAATATCAGATCAAGATCACGCCAAAAACAAAAAAAAGCGAAGAATAAGGTGATGCAATGTACCTTTCGCCACAGGCCGATAAATTAGCAAACAATAGAACTTAAAAACTTGCTTGTTCATTAAAATCCAAACCTTTGTTCTAGCCCTTTACCTTTATTATGTATCTAGATAAAATCGTGTTCGCGTTTGATAGCGACTCGGCTGAAGTCTCCCTTAGTCCCTGGACGAAAATGTTCTTGTAGATAAGCGTGGTATTTGAATTCAAGATAAATTCTCTGGAACCTCACTCAAAAGCCCTTTCCTTCCACACAATTTGATGCGACATTTTAATCCCATCCTTTCATCTCTTCTTAACACTCTGCACAGCTTCGGTGGAATTATCCAAACGTAAGAGTGAATTAAATTCAATAAACCTTTGACAAAATGCGTGATTTCGGTCCGTGGAAACGTGCGTTGTGTTTACTTCAGCCGAATATTGTGACCGATGCATACATGTATTAAAGATTTCTTTTTTCGTTATTTTAGTGTTTTTTTTGTTGTTATTAACTTTGGTGATAAACTATATGACATTGTTGGAGTATGCCATCGTTTTTAAAATGACACACACATTCTATAACCAAGGTATTGTAATCGGTAAAATCTAGAACATACCGTCAATATTTTGCCAGCTCCGGTTACGAATTTATGGAAACGAATTTCAATATTACATTACATTGAATATGTACGGATTGGATTCTATCACGTGAGAACCAATAAAGGTATATTGATATCTAGGAGAACTGGCTATTTTTATTATTTTTTTGGTATGGTAGGTAGGGATGTTAGTTTGCTAAGGTTCTAAAACCGTCGTAAGAACGAAAGGGTCACATAATAGTAATAGTTTTTAAAAATACTAGTTCATTGTCATCATTTCGTGAACTCATAATAAAATTGATAAATTTGTTTGTCCAGGTACTGGCGCCGGAGCCCCGCCCCCACCACCCCCCGGCGGCATGCCCCCACCGCCTCCCGTGCTCCCAGACGTGGACTTCTCCAACTTGTCTGTGGATGACCGCAGCGCCCTCTTCGCCGAAATCAACCAGGGCGAGAACATCACTAGCAGTACGTGTTTGTGCTTTATAACACGTACCATACTACAGTGTAATATAAAATGATATAATGTGGCGTCTAAATGTTTGTCATGAAATCAAATGTTTCAATGGATGACTATGATGCCTCTACACAACAATCGCATTATCTATCGAGCTGGATTTCCGTAGCTGTTATATTTCAACGGAATGGACTCAACTTTTAAATAGCTGTCTGGTCATGTGTTGCTATCTACTGTAAACATTTTGAAGATTTCAAGATGTACAACTTCTTGTCTTAGGTCTGCGTAAGGTGACCCCGGACATGCAAACGCACAAGAACCCTCAGCTGCGACAGGGCCCAGCCCCCTTCAAGGCGGCCCCCGCGGCTCGCGCCCCGCCCGCGAAGCAGTTGCCGCAGCCCGGCGCCGGCACGCTAGACAAGCCTCCTGTCTTCACTCGCGACGGCAAGAAGTGGCTTATTGTACGTATATACTTCACAAATCTGACATTCATTAGTATTGAATTAATAGTACAGTTATACAACTTTATCCATTCATAGGTACCTACTAAATAATACGAAGATCGCATTTTCACCGAATGAGCAAACATCACTGCGTGATTGTATTATTTGAATGGAATTAATGAACTAGTATAGATTGTCGAAACAACGTGAGTCAAGCCAAGTCATGATTCATCCCACTAGTATTGATGATCTAACTTGTAGTACTGTCCATTTATTATCATTTTTGATTTGACAAATCCTTAAAAGGGCAAATGACGCACACTTTTATCATATCTACGCTCTACTCCAAACTGATATGAATATTATCCTCCGGATATTCCTGTGTTAAATTATCGTTATAAATTTTCTTATATTTAGAAGAAAACCCTAAATGATCTGTAGAGTATCCGCGGCGTTATTAAAAAATAAGCAAAATTGCTTAACTCATAATTTTTGTGATAACAGGAATACCAAAAAGGCAACCCCAACTTGGTGGTTGAGAACGCGGACATGAACAACGTGGTGTACATGTTCCGTTGCCGCGACTCCGCGCTGACAGTGCGCGGCAAGGTCAACGGCGTAGTGCTGGACTCTTGCACCAAGTGCGCCGTCGTCTTCGACAACCTCGTCTCCAGCATCGAGTTCGTCAACTGCCAGTCTGTTCAGATGCAGGTCAGTCTTAAAGATATGAAACATTATCTTCTGTTTATTAATTTACTAGTTACATGCCCCGAGTGTCGCACGGGTGAAATGCTGATACTAAATAACCTATAACAAAAACATCATTTCGCTATTATAAAAAACACAAAGAGTAAATCTGTATTATCTCCAAATTTTAATTTAAATAATGTGCTGTAAAGGGCCATATTGATTCTATACTAAATCAGCAAGATATTTAAGATATTTAATTGGATAATTATTAATACTGTAGTGGTTAAAATTGCCCCGAAAATTAGCCGCTACTTGTACGTCGTAAATAATAAATATACCATCGCGAAGTTTTCAGTAGACGTTTTCAATCTGTACAATAATCCGTGCATTATTTTTAATGCATATAAATTTGAAATTGAGACTTAAATAATATTGTGTCTCGTTGTTATAGTGAGTGAGATGAATTGAGCAGTTTTTTGGTTCAACTTCATCTTCTAAAAAAAAGTATAGCTTCTAGAAAGTTAACTGAAATCGAGATAAACCAAATTCCATACCAGGTTTAACTAACTGTAACTGTCTGTATCAATATTGAATCACTCGGCCATAACGAGCAACAGAAATCCACATCAACATCGCTATCTCTTCAAAACTAATTCATTTCAGCAAGTATTTACTTTATTCGATTTCTGCGAACTTCAAGTAGCAATAACTCTACAGAACAAATATTACTTTGTAGAAATAATTTTCAATTTAGGATTTCTCGGACAAATCTTGTAGTATTATTACTGGGTACTAACTTGCGTCTGCGGTAGCCGAAAAGTAAACTTGCCAATGATAAAATATATTTTTTCGAACCTCAATTTTTGAAATTCTTTTCAATGCAGTTATGAAATCTTTCCTTCCTTATAATATCAGAGATTTAATTGATAGAGATTAGTGAAACAACAGACTAATAACTGAACAAGAAAAGAATTGCTCCCAACGGACGGACGGCGACTATTTGTCATTAACTTTTCTAACATTTTCCGACGCGGTAATCACATCATTTATCAACGTTGACTCAACTAAATAAGTAGATTCTCTGTTCCCTCCCTAGAAAATAAGGGAAAAGTAAATTATATAGTTGAACCTCATAAATATTTCACTATTTTATTGTATTGTGTTGTTTTTTTTTTATGGTATAAGTCGGCAAACGATCAGACGGATTACCTGATGGTAAGCAATCGGCGCCGCCCATGGACACCCACAAGAACAAAGGAGTTCCGAGTGCGTTGCCGGCCTTTTGGGGATGGGGGTTGGGGATATAAGGATTGGGAAGGGATAGGAGAAGGGAAGGGGTTGGGCCTCCGGTAACCTCACTCACACGGCAAAACATAACGCTGTGGGTTGTTTCACGCCGGTATTCTGTGAGGCCCTGGTATCACTTCGGTCGAGCCGACCCATTCGTGCCGAAGCTTGGCTCTCCCACACTTGTAAACTTGAACTATGTAAATTGAAACACGTTTCTTTACTATTAATCAACACAACAATCAATCTCTTTTACCTGCATCCTAGAACAATCATATTGTTTTAGATAAATACTCTGGAACGGTTTCCCTTGAGATAAGCTTACCTTGGAACTAACAATTAGAGTTTATTGTTGTTATTCTCTTTCTTTCATTTTTCATTTTATAAGTGATATCCATTACTTATATTGTGGTTTCTACTATTACAAAATAACAATCTCGGAGATTGAACTTAATGAAATTTTTATTGAAACTGGAACAATGGCAAAACGAATCGGCTTAGTGGTTCTTATGTAAGGATATCTTCTGTGACGCTGATGAGCGATGAGTGCAACGATGTCTATTGCTCTGTGTATTTTGAAATATTGAACATTGATTCAATAAAAAGTTAAATTGTAAAACTGACCTACTGATTTTGGATTCGAGACACGTAGGTCTTCTAATAGGTGTTCGTAAGCAACTATTGTGATAGAATATTAACGTGATTTTTTTTCATACCAAGAAAAGAATGTTATCACGCTTACGCAGTAATGTAAATGTGATTTCAGTCTATTAGGTATTTAAGATAAAACATGTGCAGAAAAATGTGAAAATTTTTGAATTGTGTACTATTTGAGTTGTTGCGCGACAACTACTAAGTAATTAAGATAATGTTAAAATGAAAACAAAATTGTCATCGATATATTATATTGAATAAATATAGATATGAAAGTGTCACATTATAGTACGACCAGGTCACGGCACTCGTAATCGTCGCCACACTCACTCTTTATCTCTTCGATGGCTATCTGACTGTTGGTCTCCTCGATGATTGACATCATGTTCGGCATCTTCCCGCGTTCGCACGAAAACATCGGCTTCACGTCGCCAAAGTCCTGCGTGTCGTAGTAGTCTCTGTTAGCTTCAGCGACGTCCTGCCAACAAAACACCCATTACCGACGTGATCTATACCCACCATTCGAAAAGATAAAATTCAGTGATATAGTATCGTACTAGCTTTATCGAAGATATTCCTAAAAATATTCGCATTCTAGTAATTTTGTGAGGATTACATTATTTCGTCGTAATCAAATACTATGTATTTCTTTTTACTTTACTCTCTTTACTTGTTTTTTAAAGTAAAAGTAGGTATACTGACCTCATAGTTATATGCATACGGCTTGTAAGGATTTTCGGCCCAGCTTAAACTGTATTCGTCGTAACGCACATCTGTACAACTATTTCTGAAATCGCTATCCGAGTCGGATGAGTTGTGGGGCTTGGAATAATCCCCCATGGCTTCCTGCGACGCCACGTCCATTGGATGTGGGTCCAAGTTCAGAATAGTCAGCTTACTGTTGATCACCATGTTAAGGGTCTTTTGCCAATCTTCTAATAGTTTCTTAATACTCTCCATCTGAAAAGTTACAGTAATGTTTTTCAATATTTTCAGAGTGATGTAAGTTGTAATATTTAGAATGTTGAATGGTACCTACTTTCTTTTTCAACATAGCTTGCTTGGTGGCTCTTCGCAATCTTTTCTGTTTAATATAATGCTTAAGATAAGCAACCTTATACACGTTGGTAACTTTTAAAATCTTCACTCGACAATCTTGTCTAACGTCGGCGTCGCTGAGCGAGGAGTACACGCTGTTGTCCGGCGTTGTGGGGTCTGTGGGTGCACGCTCTCCACACTCTTTCTTCTCTGACTGCCTTTCGGGGTTCACCATGTGGTCGTACTTCAACTCCTTTAACAATTCCATCATGAATTCTCGGTCTGTAAGAAACAAATATATGAAATATTATACTTGAAAATAAAATGATACCTACTCATAATAAGCGGTAGGTATCATAGAGAAGAACAACCTTCCTCGTGAGGAGCGCAGTGCATGTGCAAGTCGTTGTCAGCGTCCCAGATGACGGCATTGTCGATGGCGCGGCGCACAGTGTCGTCGGCCGCGATCACCTCGCGTACTCGCGCCCGGACGCGCCGCAGTTTCTCGGCGCCGCGCCGCAACTGCTCTGCTCGCTCAGCAAACTCCGCATCCCGTACACATAGCTTCGTATTCACTATCTGAATCTAACAAGACAAGCAGTTGTACTCTGAACGTTTTTACACAGCAGACATACATTCTGAATACAAATAGCATGTAACCTGGAGTTGAATGTCTTCTATCTCGTTTTGTTTCTGTTTTATTCTCTCCCGGGAAGTCACGTACATGTCTCTAATGAACTTGTACATGTAGAATCCCGTTGGCACGTATTTGAGAAGAAATATCATCTGTCGAAAAATGGGATGAGAAAAGGGTGTCTAACAATATTTGAGAGAAATCACAACAAATACTAGACTCACCACATTAATAAATGTGAGTCGCAAATAGATTGAATATCCAACACTGACACAGTAGTGAGCTATCGGCTCGCCGTATTGCTCCATGGCGGAATTCCATAACTTGCTGATACCCCATACCGCTCCGTTTACCTCCTGTTTGTTGAGGATATGCCGGTCCTCAGTACTCATTATAAGGGTTCTCAAATGAAGAGCCGAGATTACCGCCGCCAACACTATTAGTAAAGTCAACATCTAAAAGTATGTATAATATTTAATACAAAATACCTATTTATTACACATGGGCGGGAGCATTTATAAATATGCGAAAAAGAAATATTAATTTTGAAAATAATTATTTTTAAATCTTGACGTTGACATTTCTTTGTTGTGCCATAGAAAGAATTGGTCAGTTGAATTTTCCAGTTATTCTGTATAATAATCTATGGAATTGGCATTTTATTCTTCCTTCAAATGTAAACTTCTTTTGTTGTTCTTGTTCTTAAAGAATGCGAACAAAAAACTTATACATTAGTGACGTTTGACAAAGAAATGACAAGTTTTTTTTGATGTATTTACTGTTGGTCGATATAATTTATTGATGTGTTGTGTATTTAAACTGTGCATCGTCAGGTGCTGGGCAAGGTGCCGACAGTGTCGATCGACAAAACGGATGGCTGCCAAATCTATCTGTCTCCGGAATCGTTGGATGTCGAGATCGTCAGCTCCAAGTCTTCGGAAATGAACGTGCTGGTGCCCAAAGGCAACGGTGACTATGTAAGTAGAACACGAGTTTTCTTCCTTCCTACTTACCTTCCTGCTAATTAATACAGGTTAAGTAGACGTAGAAAAGTTTTTTACAAAGTACTCATTGCGACAGTTGCGTGACCGGCCGCAATATTTAAAGTCATTATGGTAAATGGTTTTGACTTGTTTACGACAGTGAAGCTTCTTTATTTATTAATAGATACGTGTGTCTTTCAGTTTTCAAACAGTGATCTAATGGAAAAAGATAGCCCTACATAAAAATATTGTAAGAGATGTTGAATGGAATGTATCCGTTACGAATGTAATTTAAATATATTTCTGATAATTGGTTTAATATCATTTATTTTTATTCAGTCTGAGCACCCGGTCCCGGAGCAGTTCAAGACAGTGCTGAACAGCGCGAAAAACGGTATCACCACCACACCCGTCGAGAGCACGGGCTAAACGTTACGTACTCACTCGAGAACCGAACCTCGTTCACTACCCAGGTCTCAGTGTCATCCGAGACGAGGCGGATCTTAATATAATTATCATAATACTTGCACGATCTAGTTCAACATTAGTTCACGTACGATGGTTCGCCTCGAAGCATCCATTCAGAAGCACAAACCATCTTTTGTACCTTTCGTCGTTCGAGGAAGGTTCTCGAGTCTCGCGTGCGTCTATTTAGTCTTGTATCGATCATCTTATTTAAGAACTGTCTTCATTTCTTGCTCATTGCGCTCGATTGTAGTATTTAAATATTATAAATCTAATACGACGTAGAAATAACTATAACTCAAGTATTTACTGGCCTTTGTGTGTAATGTTATGATGTTCCTTACACTAACGTTTGAGATTTGACAAGAAGGTAACACAAGGAGTACCGCCTGGTACGGGAGTTAGTTAGGTTAGCTGTAAGGTGTGTGACTGTCTCGAGCATCTCAAGTAAGAAAGGTTTGCATTCTCGACTTTCGCTCTTTCTATTAACATGTACGATGATTAAACCCCGAAGCTTGACACGCGTGAGGTCTAATTTTCTTACTTGTATTACTTCCTTGTGATCATTGCATTGTTTTATGTCGATGTCTATCTATGGGAGAACTCACCCAGATTATATTTTAATTTAGGACATGCTATATTATTTTGTGATTGTAATTATTATTTTTAATTCAATATTTCTTATAAAAATCTGCGAATTTTGTATGAAAATAATTAATAATTTGTCGACATAGTTACTGTGTAAGATTTGATTATTATTTATTATATCATCCTTATTTTCAATAATATAATAATTGTATTAAACGTTTGCATTTTGTTAATTTATTTGTCGAGAGATTAAAATTATTTTTAAGAAAATTGATTTTTATTGAAATACCCAATATGCTTATAATATTAGCTAATTTAAAACTATTCCTAAATCCTACGGGGTTTTATAAATAAAACAAAAACAAAATATAGTCATATTTTTTATTTGTTCAGGACATGGATCACGTCGTCCATTTAAAAAAACAAATTCAAACGGAAAAGGTAATCCATGTTTTCAATAAATAAGTAATTCAATTTAGCAGTAATCGTGCAGTGGTAAACAGTTTGGGCACATACATTACATCTATATTTACAAAATTACAAACGAACCCAAATAACATTACATAATAATTATGGCGTAGCAATCGTCTAGCATTATGTCAATTTTAAGGAAAATTATATTTATTACAGCTAATGAAATATTGTCTCTGTCGTCGCAGAGATTTCATAACTTAAGAGATATCTTACAAAGTATCAGTCGAATTTCGAAGTTTTACTCTATGTACTGCCTAAGTACTGGCTTATAAAGTAATTAAACCTGTATAAATGCTGTTAGTCGGGGTCTATGCTGGAATTATTTGGTGAGACTCTACTGCACTGCCACTCGTCGCTGCCGTCGGAACATTCTAGAAACCCGTTGCAGACGCTGGTGGCCGGTAAGCATTCCCCGAGTGGACATCTGAATCCCTTACAGGTGTCTTTCCTACTAGCTCGTCTGTTCTCCGCGACCTCGAGGTCAGCGTAGAAGTCTTCGTCGGATTGGTTCTCGGCAGAGTCACTGGTTTCATTGGTCGGCAGTGTGTGGGCCGCTAACACGCTGTCTATCCAGTCGATGTAGTGGGACACCTTTGTGTACACGCCAGGACGGTTGGCCCGTGCGCACCCATACCCGTTACTTGTCACTCCATAAACGTACCATTTGTCGGATTCCTGAAAATCGAAGAAAAAAGACCACTTAAAGTTGTACCTATTGAGTGTATATGTAAGTATACATATAGGTTGTGACTATTTGCATATCTCAGTAGATAGCTTAACACGTTAACTGCCACGTAGGTCACCGGTGACCTACGGTAGCGGAGGATTTTCATTCAATGATTTTCTGTCGGCAGTCAAAGGCTTAATAAATAAACAAATAAAAAAAGTTAATACCTGACACATAAGCGGTCCTCCAGAGTCTCCAAGACAAGCGTCCCGACCGCCACGCTCGTACCCCGCGCAGAACATGTCGTCCGTGACGCGGTACAGCGGCAGCAGGCGCGTGCGCCGCCGGCACTCCGCTGTCGATATTACTGGCAGCTCCACTTCTTGCAATGTATCCGCTAAAAAATGGGATAAATTGTTCAATTATTTTAGAAAAAATAAATAGAGCACAAATCTTTGAAAGATAACATAAGTACAAAATTTGATATGGTATTAAGATATAATTAACTGGTGAAGTATGAAAAACTTACGGAAAACACGTTCATGTTCATATAGTTGACCCCAGCCGACGACAGTGCAGTGATGTCCGGCTGGGGGCTGTGCCCTTGGTGGCGGCAGGCAGGCGGGGCGCAGACGAGCGTGCAACGACACAGGGTCCACTCGCAACAGTGCTATATCATTGCGGAATCCACGCGGTGCATACTTAGGGTGCAGTACTACTTGACGCACACGTGATACTTGCTCCCATGGTCCTCGCGGCCACGCACCTCTCCGTAAGGCACCTAATCGGGCAACCCAGTGTGCTTCTGTGGCTCTGTTTTGGTAAAACAATAATTAGTTAAAATCAGATCGTAAGTTATAATTTGGTGCAAGTAAATGAATAGAAGAGAAAATGATGTTCCTTACTGGTAAAAGCAATGGCTGGCGGACAGCAACCACTGCGCATGCACGAGCGTGCCCCCGCACTGGAAGTCTCCGTCCCGGTAGAGCGCAGCCTGCCAGGGCCACGCACCAGCCGCCGCGCCGTCGCCGCCCACCACCCTGCCGCGGCGCACGTGCGCGTCAGTATCATTCTTACCCACACACATTCCCACTACTACCACTACTCAACCTGGATCTGCCTACTATGCTTAAGGCGTTTTGTGATGGAATGTCGGTGTAGGGTTAGGCTTATTTGATTTTTCTACCCGTTAAATTGATATTCATAGGTAATTCAAAATCAATTAAGCCAGGATTATCCTATCGAAATGTAAATCAATAACATAACTATAATTTTGACTGATTACCTGGGCTGTTGGGCGTCAGCGTGTGGTCGTATCCCACAGTCGAGTCCAGTGCATCGGACTCTTAGTGCTCGTTTTTTGTTGCACGTCGCACGTCGGAAAGAGAGGCGGGTGTCATGTGCCCGTGCTGCCGCGTTATGCCACACCTCCCAGTAGCCTGCGGTGCTAGTCTTACGACCCTCTCGAGCTTCACGTGCCCAGCCAGCATCTCTGCATAAAACACATTCTATTAATACCTTCTTTCCTATAATGTTTGTGATAAATCGTGTTTCTTTATTTTTTATAACGTGTGTTCAATGGTTTTTCTGAATACATACCGAAATTATAAATATTAATATTAAACACAAAAAATATAAAAGCAAAGAATATAAAAGGAAATTCTGAGGGCTCGTCGAGTCGTGTGGGTCGAACAGTTCTTTACGACTACGCGTCCGACCTACACTTATTAGGACAATTTTTCAATTTAGGTAGCTAATTGTATTGCCTTAAGCAAGACATATTTTTAGTTCTTGTTATAGTACAAATTGGGTATAACATTTTCTTATAGAAAATATTTATTACTGGAAGGTCATTGCTCTGCACACTGCTCTGCCTAAGTCCGGCAGTTTCAAGGAGCTGTGAGCCTGCTCCACAACGTCTGCAAAGCTCTCCACACACAGCCGACCCCAAACTCCTCGCTTGCGTACCATCACGTAACCTGAAATTATTAGAATAACTACACTTAGAAGGTTTTTACTGATACTGATCGAATATTTATAATTTTGCAAGAAAGTAATATAACCTTCTTCATTATATGGAACCACTTCATTATTCTCCAGTTGTTCTGCCAGCGCCACGCAGCTTTTCTCGTCATCCCCGAGTGGACAATCGGGCGTACCGTCACACACTTTGCCCATGTCCAAGCATTGACGAGCATTTGCACAGACATACTGACCTTCCTTACACCAGTCTGGAAATAAAGCATCAAGGACAAACGTTAAATAATTAGCTATACGCAACAGTTGAAATTCTCATTAAATATTACTCAGAGTTTCTAAAGTTACTTATTAATGAAAACTTTGTGCCTAATTATAAGTTGCTTGGATATAATAAAGTATTCAAGGGTTTTGACTTTTCAAACTCCAAGTGTTGTTTAGTATCTAGGTGACGATTTCTACGTAAAACACGACTTCCAACACCTAAAAAGTAGGTACCTTACTTAGGGTTATATGTTATGTATAAATGCGATTTAGTAAATTTTTTTAATCGTAGGTATAGCTAAATTAATTTAATTCATACCACATTTATTCTCATCAGAATAGTCCCAACAGTCCACGATGCCGTCACATATCTTGGATTGGGAGAAATCTGCACGCAGGTAGTCTGCGCAAGTGCACGAACGTTCGTCTTCGCCACCCGGACAGTCAAGTAAACGGTTGCAGCGTGACGTCAATGGCAAACATAAACCGCTTGGACATTGAAAAGATGTAGCATTGTTGCATTCCACTGAAATTAAGATTAATATTAATCGGGATTTTCATTATAATACTTCATTCATATTACCGGTCTCTATCCTTCATCCATATGGCTTACCTTCTTTGATAATTTCTTTTATAAAGTTGCTGACGTCCTTCTCTTTATTTGGTTTGGGTGCATGAGGCTTATTGTAGGATTTTTCTGGAATATCAAAAGTGTTCCCTTCTTGCTTCGATGGCTGATTCTTATTGTATGTTTTAGTCAGAATTTTAAATCCCGCTTGGTTTAACGTGTAACTGGATGGGATTGCTTTTGTTGAGATTACGCCGCCTGGCGCTCGAAATAAAGTGTTATTATTTGAATCTGATATCGTAGCTAGGCTTGCAAGTTGCTTTAACTTATCAATCGTCAAAGTATTTGTTTGATTTATTGGTATTTCTAAAACAACGTCTGGTTCTAAAGCCAGTTCGTATGCAGGAAGTGTCTGAGTTTTGTTTGCTCTTTTACTACTTACAGTACCAGTAACATGGTAAGATACCCTGTAAGTTCCTTCGGGGACATTAGTGGTATTTGATTTTTCGGTATTATCAAATGCTTCATTATTTTCACTTGAAAAATTTAAGTCATCGCTAGATTTTGGAAATCTGCTATTCGATTGGAGCAAACCTGGTGCAGCCGCTTGTATGATTTCAGGAACTGTTGGAAATTTTGGTTGTTTTTGTTGTTGAGAATCTGCGATATTAGCTGTACTCTCAACTGCACCTTGATTAGATTCATGACTTTGATAATAATTTTCAGTGCTGAGATTATCAATTATCTTTTGTGTTTCGGGGTCGTTACGAAAAAAACTGCGTAAATTTTCTTTCATCGGTTGATTTTCAATTTTTATTTTAGGCCGGGGTCTAAGTGGACGATTCATACCTAAATTAGACTTGGCAGGTAACAGGGTTATAACTCCTGCTGTCGTAATTTCTAGTTCATCATCTGGAACAACTTCTACAATTCCTTTGTTTAAATTATGTCGTTCTTCTACATCCATGTCATTTACACTTTCTTCAGGTTTGGGCGTCGGTGGTCCACTTTGGGAATATTTTTTGATGATCTCTGTTAAGTTACGAAATAAAGACACCTTTCCCGGAAACTTCGGGGTTGTATTAGGAAAGACGTCGTCATTCTTAGTTATAATTGCCTGTAAAGTATCGTTATAATATTTTTCTGGAGAATTTTTGCTAAAACTGTCATTGTCGTTGGTTGAAGTGTTTACTAGTTCCCAAGTAAGATGTGGGGCCCCCGTGCTGGGTATGATAGATACTTTGTTATTTGGTCGTCTCGTTGAATTTTCTTTTGTAGTATTATTCTGTGTCTGTTCCATCGGTTTATAAGTTGTATTTACAATTTCTAACTCTGGAGTTGTAGATACGGTACTGCTGGTTGGTACTTTAGCACTGGTTGTTGTTGGAGTACTGTCACTTGTTGTAATGGTACTGGTTGTTGTTGGTTTGCTGGGAGCGCTAGTAGTGATAGAAGTGCTAGTACTAGTTGTTGTGGATGTTGATGTGCTACTTGTTGACGTAGTTGTATTGTGTTTCTTTAGTATTGATGCACCTTCAATCGAAAATTGTTGGGTATCATTATCTGTGTTATCGGTCTGAAGAATATTTATACTAACACTTGTTTGCTTCTCTTTGGGTGGACGTTCCACTGGCTTTCCGTCGTCTTCATCACTAAAATCGATGTCGTCCACAGCTTCAACTACGCCACTAATTTTATCTACAGGAATAGGATGAGGTTTTGGATAATTAGACCCTAATGTTTCCATATTCTTAAGGGGAGGGGCGTAAGTTGGAAGGGTAAAGCTTGTGTATACTGGGCTAGGTACATAAACTTCAGCTGCTAAATTGGGATCTATGTTATGTAAACCAATAGGTCTTATTGTCGTTTTATCTCTGTGTTTCAGTGGTGGTATCGGGGTCAGTATGCTTTCCAATATTGAAACATCGTCTACTACTTCTGCGACTCCCATTCTGTCTTCAGCATTTAGATCACTTGTGATTTCAATAGGAATCGAAGGTTTGCTAGTCCTTTCATAGTAAGGTTGGGTTATAGGGCGCCATGGTTCATTGTCAATGACATGTGGCACAGTAAATAATGTGTCGATTTTGGGCAAATCTTTATAATGATTTTCATTGGTTAGTAGATCGAGTAAAATTTGGGACACGTTACTGGTGGTGGAACTAGTTTGAACTGTTGTCGAAGTTACAGTTGTTGTTGAAGTGGAAGTTGTAGAGGATGTAATAGGAGCCCGTGTAGTTCTTTCAGTGCCTTTTTTCGGAGTAGGTTCGGTTCTAGTTTTAACATTTAGAGTAGATGTTATAGTGAATGGCCGGGTCTTTGGTGTACTTGTAGGAACTCTCTTCGTAGTTGTAGGCCTTGCAGTTGTTCTAGTTGAGGGTGCCTTGGTTGTGGTAGTAGTTTTGGCAGCAACCGGCTTGTGACTTCCTTTGTCATCATGACGCGTGGGACTAGAACTTAACTTTTTATTTTCTGTTATATCTGCCTCAGTCTTGGTGATTTGAAATGAGCCTTGCACTACTGGAATGTTTTCGGTGTCTATGTCTGGTTCATCAGGATCTTTTTTCTGATTGGGTTTTACTGTGGTTTTACGTACAACACCTACCCTTGTCTGAAGGCTTTTATCAATACCAGTCGGTGGTGGTGAACCTTTTGGATTACTCATAGCCATGCTCTCATTCATAGCTTCTTTCACATAAGATTCTGAATGATAAGTATGTTCTAGATCTCTTTTAATCACTATGCTTGATGTATCAACTTTTATACTTTGTCCAATTGCGGGATGTTTAGAATTCAAGTCTTGAATTAAAATGTTCTTAAGAGTTTCTTCGATGTTTGAAACAGAACTAAAAACAAAAAGATTAATGGCATTAGGTATATGGATTATTAGACGTAAAAATGAATTGCAATTATACGTAATACGGGTTTGGTTAATTACCTTGGTATTTTTCTTCTATCCAGATACAATCTGAAGTGTACGTCTAGTCTTCGGTCACCGAATCCGGTAACTATTGCGCCCGTGAAGGCTTGTCGTAGCGGTGAAGGTGCGGCGTACACTTGGCGAAGTGCTACGCTGTAGCGTCGCGCCCGCTCTCTGTACGACGGACTGCCTGGCACACCGCCGTAAACGTCTCCTCTAGTTACACGAAACGTACCCTCAAACGATATTATTGCTGCAAAAGAAATCATGCATCATGATATTAGTCATGTCAATTTTTAAACAAGTCATAAGTATGAATATGTTTTATAAAGAGCAAGCTAAACTTTCACACAGCATTGACACAAGTTGGCGAGTTTCCCACGCATTTTTCCTTAAAGGTCAAATAGAACTTAGTAGCGGCTGAAAATAACACCCTCTGTAGTATTACACAATAATAAGAACATAGTAACCCAGTTCCCTCGGACGCCTCCCACAATTTGCATACCTATAAGTTTTCCATTTTTCATTTCCACACGAATGAACATTTTACTTGTACACTCCACTACTCGGTATAAACGCGGCCAATATTTATCGAGTATAAATACCTAAGTATCTATTATTGACGTTTTAATATAATTTATGTGTTCAACAACTTTCGAAGTTATCAGTAAAGATGGAGCATATAAAATACGAGATAGGTCGAGAATGTCTTTCGAGAAGCAAATAAATCTTACAATTATCTCCATGAGTGATGGATGTGAACCTAAAATAATATGTTGTATGTAAAAAAGTATTATCACGAGGGAGATTTATATTATTTATTCTTTGATATTGATTTATTGTACGATACTCAACGTATTGTTCAGTTAATAATATAATAAAAATGTAAAAATAGATTATGGTACGTACGTTCTCCATTGTCTGGCCTGAGGGCACCCATGTAGAAGGCGAGAGCGGCGACTGCCAACACGGCGACGGCAGCCAACAAGGCGCCGCCGACCAGTGCAGCCGAGCACAGCCCGCCGCTGCGAGTGCTTGTGCTGCCCACACCAGCGCGAGGATAACCTCCACCCGCGAATCGATACTCGCTCTGCAGAAAACAAATAAATACCATTAAGATATTTTTTTGTATCTAAAACAAGAATATAACAAAATAGGAGTTTTAAGGACAAACTTTTAACTGCAAGTGCAGAAAATCAGTATTGATTTCACTGGCTTGGTACATGTGAAACAATGACTTGAATTTCTTCTGTTCAGTTTACTTATAATAAGATAAGTATTCGTGCGGATACCTCATAAAATCATTCTGCGAAAACCTGCCCCTGCAAGTGTTGCTAAGCAAATGAATAGATTTTTTCTCGATATTTGGACACTGTATTCACAAATTGTGTATATCTACTGTATAGTTTAACAATATGAGGCATAGCATATTTGTACTGAAATAGAGATATATAATAGAATACATCTATCCCTAACATTACGTATCTAAGGCTGAACAAAAATATTCATATTTTAACGTACCTATATTTTAACAACTGTTAATAATAGCTTATACAGTGGTCTAAATACAGTAATAATAATAATATGCCTATACTTAGGTATAGGACTTTTCTGTAGTATTGGCGTGATGCCTTTTATGAAGTTAATATTTTTGAATACGAAGTGAAAACTGGACTAAATCACCCTATAAAAATGGTGGCGTGGCAACATATGTAAGTACGTAGTAACTCTCAATTATGTCCGGGTTAGCATCGTAAAAGGAACAAATGTGATGTTCATCGATCTCTTCGATGCCTCTTTGCTATTTCATTCCTTACGCCCCCTTTGTACGATAACAAGCTGGTTTGAAGAAAAACATGGTTCTACATACTTTTTCCTTGTAATAATTTGCGTAAAATATATGTAATCATACTGCTCGTAGTTATCACTTATGGTAATCATGGCTGTAAGTATAGGCGGGGGCCATCCGACCTCCCGAACTGTTTTTATATCAACCAAGGCGTGATAGATTTTTTAACGTTGACAGCTCATTTCTTGTCGAGACCCTCAAGGTTCGTAATCATTTATGCTAGTTGAATAAAAAACTGATCTACTCAATTACTTATGTCGTTGATATCTATAGAAACAAAGACTTGATACACTGACGCATTTGATAAATTGATCCTTAACGTTGAATGAAATGTAATTTGTGCAGGTATGTGGGATACAAAAGTATTGTGTATATGGGCAGAGTTCGGTAAAATTTGGGAGGAAGTATTTTTGACGTTGCAAATTCGCAATCATTACAATCCTGATGAACGATGGGAACGTGGACAGTGCATGGGAACCGCCCGCGGTGGGCCATCCATCTGCACCCCACCTCTTGCTTCACCTGTCACTTCGCGCCGTTAATCATCCTTCTACAAAACCATGTCCAAACGCATGGGAATGCTGTTTTGTTGGACGAAACAAATTTGCAGACACCCGAATTAACTTTAATGCACAGTTTCACGTGCACCATCTGTGCATTTTACACAAAAAGTTTTTGCACATTTCAAAAAGTTTGCACAACGACAGGTCCCACCGAGATTTGAACTCGGATCGTTGGATTCAAAGTCCAAAGTGCTAACCATTACACCATGGGACCGCGACGTAGGACTTACGAAATAACGATCTAGTTAATGGGAACGTCGGTCGCACCGTTTGAATGGTATGTCAATATAGCCTGCTGAAAAGCTGAATAACGTCGTATAAATAATATTCAACATCATAAATAATCACACAGTAGAGTATGTAGTATGCACCTCATAATTTTCAAGAGCCGGACAAGAATTACAATGAGCCAAAATTGTCCGTCGGACTTTGGATCTGATAATTATACAGTGGAAGGCACGGTGATTATTAAACGTTTGACATCAAAAAAACTTAAGAACGATGAGCGTTTTCGAGGAAAAAGGTTTTGCGGTGGACGTTTTACATACTTTCTATAAAAATATATTGTAAGTTAAACTTAGTTACAAATTCTTGGGAAAACAAGAATGGATTCCTAAGATACTAAAATTGTTCGTTTTAAATAACTATGCTACTTGAAAATATTTTATTTGAACGTTAAAATCAGCGTTTTGCTTGTAGATATTTAATTTAGCAGAAGCCGACATCCGCCATATTGTAAATGATGGTTCGTCTTAAACGAAGGTAATGAGATCTTTGAACCTTACCAAACAGCATTATTACGTCCCTCAGTAAACTACTCGTCAGTAATTAAATATACTTTTTGGTACATTGATTAACTTACAGTTAGTTATTTTAAGTGGAAAGCAATTTTGTTTGACGTTTTTTGCAGCACTGAACGTCCGAGAAATTGTCTGTCGGTTTTCATTGTATTTTTTTTACTTTCTTTATTGATACCCCTAAATACTGCTGTAGAATTTTGATAAATAATTATTTTTATTACAATAATACAATTATATCTCTTCGACTTAACAAATAGGCTGAAAACTATTTTCAAAATTTGTGAAACCGCATTAAAAATTGTAGAGTTAACAAAAGAAAGTTAGGTCCCACCGAGATTTGAACTCGGATCGCTGGATTCAGAGTCCAGAGTGCTAACCATTACACCATGGGACCTCGGTGAGAGTATGCCAAAATAGAGGATCTAGATCAGAAATGCATACCTAGCTTAATAGAAATACATATCTGTTTTAAAAATTTCCATTGTAGTAAACAAATCAGTGTATGATAAGACTAAAAAATAAATGTGGTATTTACATATCTAAGAAATAGGTTTTGTTAGTAAAAAAAACAATTCTAATGTATCTTAAATACATAGGAAGATAGGTACCTACATAGTTATAAAACATTTAGTTTTTAACCCTGAATGCAGTTAAAAACAATATCGATATAATATCAAACAACGGCTACCAATTTAAAATGATGAATGGCGTACAACAAAGCCCCTGGTAATAAACTCTAACAAATGCAAATGAGTGCAAACAATTGTGCATTGAATGCACGCCATGATGACACGCTGACCGTGGTCTCAATCTCCTAATGCGGCTCTAATGACAATGATGCACCGACACAATCATTTAGAACATACAAGGTAATAAGGCACGACATTTTCATTGTTAAGAATATTACAGAATTTTGAGGACAAGCCTGAAAACTGAAAATAATAGTTTTATAAGGTAATGTCTAGTACCTAAAATAACTTTTCTTGTTGTTTAACTTTATTCTGTCATACTATGTTATCTGGTGAAGCTTTTATAATACTTAGGGTTGATTTTTCAATACTCAGATAGATGTTATCCGAGGAATAAAATTGTTGCTGTCACTGTCTCATACAAACATTCTGACGCGACAGCATCATAATTATTTCCCAGATAACTTTTATGTAACCATTGAAAAATCAGCCCTTTTAATAATATAATCTCATCTATCGAATAACAAATTATAATAATATATGCATAGGTCCATAACAGAAGTGTAAAAATAACAGATTTACGCTTCAAAGGAGATTTTACTGCTTAATTAATATTGCCCGTAGACCGTTTGTGTAGACCTCTCTATTCCATAGAAGAATCAACGCACGACAATTTATTGATCGTTTTCATCCCCCGGTGCAATCGTGCTCTTTCGGCAGTTTCGTACATACCTACATATACATAACAACAAACGTATGTCGAGGGGATGAAGTAGGAAACCGTTGTCAACAGACGTACATACACTTAGATTTGTCAATAAGGTTGAAAATCTTTGCTCTCTACCCCAGATGTAAATGTTGCATGAATCTACAATAGAGCCTTGTTTACCACTACGTATTACGACAAGGAAAATGAACCTTATTTTTGTTTGAATAGAACAAGAAATTGTAAAGACTCTTTGTTTTGCCGAAAAAAAAACTCGAGGCACGGGTTAGATAGATGTTTCAATAATAAGGTTGTATTAAAATATCAAGTAAAAACCAATATCAAATTTAGCAATTTTGAGCAATATTCGTTAAGATGTATCTAGTATTGATGTTGTGATTAATACATGAATAACAGCAATTAAAATTAATGGTCTATGATAGCCCATGATTCTGTGGGTATGTACCGCGAGAGGAAATAATAATCAGCGACGCCTTCATGTAGTCCGCGTAAAAATAATATTTTATACCAATATTATATTTTATGATGTTCCAAAAAAAATAACCAAGTAGGAACAAGGAAGCTGATCAATATATTTGAAATAGCAACATAGATTTACACAAGGATTCCCAATATGAACTAAACGATTATTAAATATTTTACTAACTTCTAAATTTCTTCATTGATCTAACGACAATTAGTATATGTAGAATCAACCTATGAAATAAGAGATCAGGTAAAAAGGTTAAGTAAGTACCAATTTTCTTAATGGCATTTTCTTAAGCCAAGATCATTGTGATTGTATCAGAATAATATCAACAAAATAAAATAAAATAGGTCAGTGGTGAATGGCAGATGACAGTCTACTTGTGTGAAATATTTCAATACACCCCAATTACTTTTTCACTCCTTACCCAACTCTATTTGAAAAGGGTCAAAGAGAACTGGTTCTGATTTTCCATTGTTCGTACGAGTATCGATGAGTGAGC